AAACGCAATTACTAACAAAAAAGAAATATTCATACTTATTTTATGCAATCGTCCTTTTATCGTGCATAGAGCGCCACTCCACGTGATTTATATGCAATCACAAATTACTCACACGGTAAATATGTTCATTCTATATATATACAATCAAATGTTAGGAAAACTCATCGAATTAACATTTAGCACAATTTAAATGACTATAAAATTAATGCTTAAAAAACATGAGACTAAAACTGCCATTAATTAAAAATAAAGATTAGTCTTACTAAAATATAATAGCATTTCTTAGTACCTGGTAATAAAATAATATATACCTTCACTTGCCAGTCAGTCAATTTTTCAATTAACTTTTATATTAGTATGCTTACTACTCTTTTCAGATTTATTATCAGTAAATATAATAAAAGTAACAAAATTTTTTAATTACCTCTCATGACACGATAAAAACCAAAATATTACATAATATTAAATTTATGTTTAATTATATGTATTTACTTTAAACTTGATACACATGTATATGATTAAATCTTGCCAATTCGGTTTCAATAAATCAATACATATGTACATACAAGTGTGTTATGTTATGAAAGATTATTTTGCAAGGTTGTCGTAAAGATTGCAACAAATTAAAGAAGTAAAGGTAACAAACACCTCATAGAAATCTTTAACAAACAAGACTTGAGAATGCAACGACAAACACCAGTTGCTGATTAGGCTTGTATGTTATAAGATAGAGTATTATGTATTAGTTGATACAAATATAGTATGCGAACGATATACGTAGACGCTAGTTAACTTTCAACATTGTACCTAAACAAGGACACACGATTAGAAAGGTGGCATTAGAGGTCCAGTTGCAGTTCAGTGGTCGAGGGAAACAGTGACTTGACCGTGTCTATACCGCTTAGTTTCTTTATCATTATTCGCGTAATTGTACTTCTTTCTTTCGAATGCATAATGTTTTAACATGTGTTTAGTATGATTTAAGTATTCTGTGAAATCATGGAGACTATAATGCGATTTTACACAATTGTGTCAGATAATACACAATTTATTATATATATATAAAAGATAAAAATTTGTTTGAAGAAGCAAATAAGTATAAAAATGCACAATAAAATAGCAACTTTGTTGAATTATTCTTTTCGCAGTTCAGACTGCACACCTGTTACTTATCACAGATTGATTTATTAAACAGGTAGATATTTTATAGATTGATAGCATTCGATAAACAATCTTTCGATAGAATCATAAATTTTTCGTCTTAAACGGATATATATGTACCTCCTCTTTCATCGATTGAGATGTTTAGTGATTCTGATAGAGCTTGTTTATTATGTCAAGGAAAATATATGTGCTTAATTAAGAAATTTTAGCGTGGTAGTGAACTATATTTTTTTACGTAAGTTTGAATTTTCTTCATTAATTTTCAATTATTTTCATATCATAATTACTATATTTGTCGTTCATATTTATCATCATTCATCATAAAGGTTTAATTTGAAAACAAAAGTTACCTGCATATTTGCAAATCGTAATCTTCTGTTAACGAAAAGATTGTTTGCTGTGCAAACAGAATCCATCTTTCATAACGACAATTTTCCTGAAATGTCAACGACCAAAATCTCCTCGATAAACTTTCCTTTCGCGATATGCATTCGAAGAAATTCGATTATTCATCAATAAATTACATTTCAAAGGTCATGTTACTGAGGGTTAAATAAATTTTACAATTAACAAGCATAATTTCTTTCATAATATTTTACATAAAAAATTAGATGTAAATATAATGATAATTACCTCTGGCACAGTGTTATATTCCATTTACCAGATCGTTAAATTGCAAAAAGTACAAATCGGTAAATGGGAAAACTGCATGATCAGTAATTGTACGAGATGAGGCAATTCTGTCAACTAAAACATCGTCAGTTACGTTCTAACATGTGCGGTTGTTATACCACGAGGGTGGGAGAGATATGAAGCTTTGTCTGGCCAGGGAATCACGGCAGTACAGCAACACGCCTCTATGCGTAAACACCGAGTCTCCTTCAAAGACGACCTCTATTTTTGCATTGATGGTGTCGTACCCTTGTAGTGAACTTTCGTATGCAGTTCACGACGTGTCACCTTCGACGGTTCAAGAACTGTGCCATAAAGTGTCCAAGTAGTTAAAACGTCTCAATTGAAGATAATTTGTTGTATATAAGTGCACGGTGTTTGTTTAGCAGTTTTTCGTGAAAATCTTACTGGTACGTGTAGTTTGACGGACCTCGAATAAAAAGACATTTTTAATTGCCACATAGAATGAATTCTTACATTCGATATGTATAATATATAAAGTTTTTGTATTAAAAAAATATTGAATATAAAATAGAATCAGTGTTTGAACTCAACGTTGACTTGAATAAAGTATCTGAATTTCATTAAAGAGTTGTCGCAAAATACATGTGCTATTAGGGACGAAAGAGCGGTCTATTTCGTACGTTGCTCCCTGATCCCACAAGACACGCTCCTCGTGCTAATAGCGCGCCACAAACTGATAATAGTAGCGATACGGGTGTATGGAGAGCACTTTAGATTTGAAATGTCTGGCACGTGGAACCTATAGAGTTTCTTTGCTTTCACAGAGTATTGCAACACAGATGTTGCAATTGTTGCACTGTTTCGTTTATATACCTATAAACCAATACACTTTTTATTATAAAATGTTAATTTAAAATTTACATTATTTTTATTTTCTATGGAAGACAATGTCAAGCGTGTTTCATCGTTCATTTATATTACATAGTTTATCATTTACAATTCAAATCGTGAAACAGAATGTGAATAACAAATATGCTGCCAGCGCTGAATTATTTGCTAGCCTTCAACAGCACAAGCATTGATGATACCAATTGTAGCATAGGATATCTTCGATACCGATAGAGCTGCAATTAAAACGCACTATTTTACGCGTGAAGTATATAATAAATAAGAAAGCTATCTGAACGGCACTCATTGACTCGCATATCCCTTCTGTTCGTAAAGTCCACCCACAGTATGACGGAATGGGACAACCAGTTTCTCCAGACCTCATATTAACGTTTTTACTTTCCTTTTTTTTTCGTGCGTGGTTTATCGGAATCTCATATGTGTTTTGTTGTGTTTAGTGTTGATAAAACGTGTCGGCCATTAAGAAAAGAAAAGAAAGCGCCATAGTGAAAAGTCGAATGTGAGGAGTCGAAGAAGTCACGGACGAAGGAAATGGGCACGAAAGTACTCATCGAGATGCAACAGCAGCTGAGATACGCCATGTCCAGCTCGAAAAATGCAGAAACTAGTACGAAGAAATTAGACGACATGATGGATATCGACAATTCAATATTTCTAGTCTTCGAAGACATTTCATACAGTGCGAAACCGTGGTTATTTTCCAAACGTAAGTTTTCAAAAATAAAATATCTTTAATTCATTTACATAAACTTGTTTAATTAAATATGGAATATAGAAAGTTAAAGCAACAAGGTTGTGGCGTATTTTGCAACAAATTCTTCGCATCAAAAGTGAGATGTAGATACGAACGTAGAATACATTTGACAAGAAAAACATGTTTCGTGAATTTTTGTTTACGGAAATTCTTATCTGATTTTCGTTATCATGGAACACCTAACATAGCATATCATTCCGTTGTTTATTCTTCTTATGTGCCAAGTGAAGTTTAAATCGTTTGACTAAAAATGTTAATGCCTTATTACACAACTCTGTCAATCAATCAATCTCACTAAAAAAAACTATTGCACTCGTTTATTCGATAATTCTGTGTCGCAAACATCGACGGATGTCAATACAACTAGTATAGTCACGGAATAACTGTTTTTTTAAGTTAATCTATTTTACGGAGAATGGAACAAAAATTTTGCTCAGTGTCAATCAACGTAATAAGATAATCGCTTTTTCTTACCACGAATGAACCGTATTAAGTTCTGTACGATCTAGTCGAGCAGTTGGTAATTATGGAAATTTCAGTTCTGCCGTTACAATACAATTATATATACGTTACACGTGACCACTGTATGCATGTAAAAATCACCATTTATGAATACATATGCGTAATATTACAAGAAGCCTCAATTAAAGTATAGTAATATGATACATATTTTTTTTTTCTTTCAAGTGTTTTGAACAAATTATTTTAAATTTTATAAGTAGGGTTTAAAAACTTCGCTTTTAACTTTCACTGTTACCTAAGTTACCTAACGTAAAGGATAGATATGAAATTTAGAAAACGAGTTATTGTGATACAATCTAATATTAATAAAGTGGAACATCAATTTTGATTAATTTATCTACAAGACGTTTTCTTGTAATTATATACATATATAAAGTAGTTACAATCAATTTAAATTATAAGTGGATTGTTCATATATGATTGTTATCTATTGTCATCTTTCTCCATGATGGACAATCTTGGAATATATGATTCATAATTAAATAATTTTGAAGTATACGATATGATAATATTAATAATATGTGGAAAAATTTTATTTAGTAGATTTATTTTTTTATATATTTTTCAATGAATATATTAACATAATAATCCCTGAACTTCCGAGTTTGAATACTTGAGAATTCACTTCAGTGTATAAATATAGACTGCGCACAATCGTGTCCCTGTACGCGCACGCGGAAGAGTGTAGTGTGAGTCGTCGTCCATACTCTCTTATGAGTTTATTAACCCTGAAACGTTTAATAAACAGAAACGGCACAGAAGATGACAGAAGAATAAACATCGTTAATGCTCTGTTTAAAAAATATAATAGAGCCGAGTCGCCTGTGACAAATTCAATAAGACCCTTATTGTGTTGCGGTTAACGATACAAGGAGCCCCTCTTATCGTAGTTTTTCCCATGACTTTCTATATGCTTATCTTTCTTCTTGCCATTATTCCTATCATCAATATGAAACCTTTTATTTCAGTTAACTTACATTGCTTCCATTTTGTGTATACGTATATTCGGAAAATAATAAAAAAGTATCACCTTTCATGATCCTCCAGCATGTTTGCAAACATTGCGAGGTGCAATACGATACGGATCGCATGATCGTACGAAAACAGGACGAGGCAAGCTAGCGGCGAGGTATAAATTGTTATGTGCCCTCGATATTCGCTCGACAATTAATAATGTACGTGCATAATTAACGTGACGTTTACGAGATTTGTACATACAAATTAACGTGCATCCGATTGTTACTTCGAATGTTCAATGCTAGTGACGTCTCGCAGGAAAAACGAAGCACACATTAAAACGAAGTTTTACGCGAGTGACGCGGGAGAGAAATGTGTCGGTATGGCAGAATGAAAGTATGGGCGTGCGCGTTAACGGAAAGCTTAAGCGTCATAGCGCTGCGGAATGCAGTTAACGGGAATCGGTGTTTATTTTGTTTTCCTCACTCGAGATACTCTTTGATTATTAACATTCTTCCTTTTTTCACCACTTCTTCTGCTCTACTTTCTTCTCTCCACTTTACATAATCTTTTTTTTTTCTTTTTTTTATTTAATAAGTTATTTTCTTAAAGTAATATTTACGTGTTTTATTTTAATGGCGCACTCTATATGCATATGGTGTCTGTTATATGACGGAAAAAAAAAATATCGATTACGACCGTCAGACTATGACCCTTCCCTTCCGAAGCCCTTTAGGCTTCAGAAGCTCTCAGACATAGCGTGCTCAAAGTTGCAAGCTATTAAAGTAGCCTTGATAAATTATTAAAGGGAATCTTCAAATTCTATTAATAATCAGACACATGACATGCAGTAATCAGGAAGCTCTGTAATCTAATGGAATTACTTTTAAAATTTAAAGAATATATAATATTTTTCTAATAGTTAAACTTCTGCCGATAATTCAGGGAGAATGCTCTTTTTTTAACCAAACATCATTTAATAACTCACGTTTCCTCTAGAAAGTGTCTACATGAACGTTTGTTTCAGAGAAGTACGAACTGTTGAAAAACGTGAGCGGCGAATTCAGAGCCGGTGAACTGACCGCAATTATGGGACTGTCCGGTGCTGGAAAATCTACTCTGATGGATGTTTTGACGGGCTTTACGTTAGTAGATCTCTTATCTCTATTTATTATTTGTTTCAGTTATTCGATTAACCAAGATCGACAAATGTAATATATACGGTTTTGTTGAATTCGGCACTCGAAAAAATAAGCACCCATTAATAAGTACCTACGAAAATTCTTCGATAAGTTATACTTAACAGATCCCTTGTCGATAATTATTATCAGTATTAATGTAACATTAACGTCTATACATTTTTAGCACAATGCTCCCAGAGGGTCACGTATCTACAGGATGTTATTAAAGCGTTTAATAAAACGTTAAATAATTCCATTGGACGATTTGAAAATAATTTATTTATACACAGTATGTTATGTTTCACGGTTCATGAAACTTTCCTTCACAATATTTGCATGGATCATTTAAAATAGAACATCGGTATATCTTAAAATATAGGTTAAAAAGAAATATGATAGTATACAAAACATTTCATCAGATCCCGCCTCCTATGGCGTCGGTGTCATTCGTATGATTAGATGATCTGTTGCAAATGTTTTTAGTATAACGTTACATTACCGCAATTATTACATTATAAGTCATTATTTCATCACGGCAATTCTAGCAATGTCAGATAATCGCGGATTGCGAAACGTGGTAAATTCAGAGGAATCCTAAATTCTATGAGAACGCAGAATTTCCGGAAGATCTCGAAATAACGACTGCAGTATCGACCCTCGATGACCTTTATTCGTGATTTCGTGAACCCTACGACCGACTTTATCAACCGCCAACGTTGAACAAAATCGAAACCTCCAACTATAAGTTGGAGAAAAAATTTGCTGTGAGAAATATTTTCTTTTCCTTTTTGAAAATACACAAAGAACAAAATTAAAGTTTCGATATTGTTGAAATAATACAAACGTGTCTAGTATTTCAACAAGTGCCAGACAAATGGATTCTGTTCTTTAGTAAAGGAGAACAGAAGGGGAAGCTTTGCGTGCATCTGATAAGAAACGAACACGTGTATTTGAAACAAGTGTACGGTTTCAAGAGGGTACAAGTGCAAAAGCTCGACATATGATATGGGATTAAGTTCATGATTTCTCTGTAGACATAAGTACACAAGAGGATTAGCATCGAATAATTGAATTTAATCATCGAGTTTAATCTATTTGTATTTTTTATATATGTTTAAAAGATTACTTTCATAAATTTTTTATGAAGTCTCACGAAAGAACACTTGTGACTGCTAATCAACTATATCGTTTACTGGAACGAATTATACTTTGTCGTATAAGACGCAGCCATAGCGTATTGTCTATTGTATGCATACTTATTCCACTGTTCGACAAACCGCACATGATCGTATGTATGAATTTCCGTTCAGCGTGCATCAGAGTGTAATTGCAGCGTTCACTTGTACTTAGAGATGCAGTTATCGCCAATAAATTCGTGTGACGAAAGAAATGTTTTACTTAATGAAACAACGATAAATGCTGTTTGTGTCGTTTCGCACTATGTACGTTCTTGAGAATACAGTATCGTAAAAAATGTCGCTTTTATATTGCTTGTTTATTACTATGAAAATCAGTTGTAATTTTATAAACGTTAATAATTTGTTTATACGTAAAAAATGTAAAATCTATGAACATTTACTGTAAAGACATGTCGTTCAAAAAATAATTCAAGTAGAGTAATACATATACAGGGTGTTTCAATAGGTTGGTGGCAAATTTCTATGTCGCAAAGTTGCAAAAAGAGGAATTTTGGAACAACTATTAATAACAGGTTAACAAACAATGAAAATAGCCTTCTACAATGTTATCAATATTGTCTTCTCTCTTTTTCTTTTTTTATTTAATTAGTTAAAATCGTTTGTCTTGTACCTAATGAATCGTTCCATTGATTATGAGCGCCTCTAGGTAATCCTCTAGTTAGTTTGTGCAATATCTTAAGTAGGTTGATTGACAGCGCAGTAAATCGATCATTGTGCTTTATCGCGACACTCAAATTGCAGCAAGTAACCGAAGCAAACTAGTATATTCACATTTACATCCTAATCAATTGTTTTCGATGCTATTGACTTATTTTATACGCGATTCTGTCGTTAATTGTACTTGTTGTAACAAATATAAAACAATAAATAAATAAATAAAATGAATTCCTTTTAATTTGGATGAATTTCAGAACGTCTGGTGTAACTGGAAATATAATGGTCAATTCGAAAGCTAGGAATCTCGATGAATTTCGACGATTGTCTGCGTATATAATGCAAAACAACAATTTGCAGCCACTGTTGACCGTGCAAGAAGCAATGAACGTCGCTGCTGATCTCAAGCTCACCGTGAGCCACCAAGAAAAAAAGCAAAAGGTATCATGGGTCATAACCTCGTCAGTTTTTCTTATACACTCTTTTTATATGCTATTTTTACTTTCATAAATAAACGAGAAATTATTTTGTACTTACACCCATCGTTCAGTGTGTAATTGAAAGATTGCTCGTTGAAACGACATTATTGCCTATAGCTTGTTTATAATTAAGTGGACACTCAAGGTCATTAGGGGGAGGTATCTCCCTTCCATTGTACAATTTAACCGCGTGACTAATTTGATTGATTTAATAAGATGTTAGGTATATGTTTGACCGTGTTAATTTCACCAGGAATGATTTTTCAATCTGTTATTAGCTTGACTTTTTTCTTTCTTTCAAATATTGTGTTTCAATTATCGTCTTTCTTTTCAATATAATCGTAATCGTTTTCAGGTGGATCAAATTTTAGTCACAATGAGCCTGGAATCATGCCGCCACACGCGCACAGATCAGCTCAGCGGTGGAGAAAGGAAAAGATTGGCTATTGCCCTGGAATTAATAAACAGTCCGCCAATTCTGTTCTTCGACGAGCCGACTAGGTATTCATTTAACTGTCACCTATTATAGCCTCTTTTTCTACTGTGAAAAAGATACCGATAATCGTCAGTATACACTTCAACAAAAGTTCGTTTACAGTGGATTGGATAGCGTCACTTCGAAGTACTGTATAACATTGTTGAAGCAGTTAGCGAAGGCTGGACAAACGGTGATCTGCAGTATTCATCAGCCTAGCGCGTCGCTTTTGAACATGATGGACCACCTGTACGTCATCGCGGAAGGAAGTTGTGTGTACAGCGGCAGCACGCAGAATTTGGTGCCTTATTTGAGCAGCCTAGGCTTGCAGTGTCCTACGCACTACAATCCAGCTGATTATTGTAAGTAAATGCTCGTAAGTTAAACGGAGATCTGGACCGTATTGGTAATTTACTTTGTGTCCTGTCTATAGCAGTGTCTGTGAAAGAGACAACGTAAGAAAAAAACGATGTAAGAAATCAACGATAAGAATTGGTGTTCGTGGCATGTTTGACAAAAAAAGCTTTTGTCCTTACAGTAATGGAAATCTGCAACGGTGATTACGGCAAGCATCTGCCGCAGATGGTGGAAGCCATCGAGAATGGGAAAAATAACGCTTGGAGGTCGACCAGCAATGCGACCACCGCCAATCATCAGGAGGAAGTGATCGCTTTGAACGTGACGGCTTCGTTCCAAGCACTTCGACAACGGTCTCCAATGGAGATGCAACAGGTTACTACCGACAAACACCTTGTGTCTGATTATGCGACCAGTTTTTGGAAACAGCTAGTCATTCTTCTTAAAAGAAATGCTATCAGACTCTCGAGAGACAAGGTAAATACAGAGAGTTCGTTTCTGTAGCGACAAATTTGTAAAGATAATCAGCAAGATTGTAAACTTCTCTATTTTTATAATTATGTAAAATATTTTCTGTTGCACGTTGTTCGTTATTAAGTAGAATAATATACAGTCTCTAATAATAGAGCTCTTATAGTATAGGTAGATTCATTCGGTTCTATTAATCTGTTCTATTTATTGTACGTGTGACACGTGTATACGTAGACGAATTATAGTACAAATAAAAATAGACACGCGAATCTGGTCGGTAACGTGTTCGTATATTCGACACGGAAACGTGCAATGATAATAAAGCCAATCTCAGTCTGGGAGGTCATGAATTACTGAGACGGCGTTTATTAGATAATAAGACCTTTGAAAAGGGTCTTTTGTAGTATTATCTTTCTTGAGTTGTAAAAAAATTTATTTAATCGTGTAAATTGATCAAAAGGTTTCGTTTAAACATGAAAGATTACTATTGAAGCGTTAGGCGAAAAATCAGTAGCAAACAGTATTAAATGACCTGAAGGATGAAGATATCTAGGTGATAAGTTTTCCCGTTCTTCTGAAGAAATTTAATACTCAAAGAAGTTGTTGACATTGTGAAAAGCATAATATTTCAATCACTTATGCAAGATGCAACAGAAACTTGCAGTTAAACGAAACTAAACTATATTTAATATTAACAAAGAGTTTTATGTATATCTTGTTAAAAAAAGGTGTAAAATATTATAACAATATCTCTACTGTTTCATTGGCAGATCTTAACTTTTACGCGGCTTTCGATGCATTTCGTAATCGCCCTGATCGTTGGCACGATCTACTTCAAAGTTGGCCAGGATGCAGTGTATGTGTTGGACAATTTCAACCTTCTATTTTTCAATATAATGTTTCTCATGTTTAGTGCGTTCAGTGCAACAGTAACGACGTGTAAGTTTACCACAGTTGAATTAATTTTCAAAGTTGCTAAAAGTAATTAATCATAGTATTTGTTACATTTCAGTTCCATCGGAGTTACCAGTCATCATGCGTGAACACTTCAATCGTTGGTATAAGTTACATTCATTTTATCTTGCTAATAAATTGGCCGACATACCCATTCAATTCGGAGCCATTTCCTTGTACATTCTCATTGTATATTATATGAGCGATCAACTGTTGGAACTTCAACGATTTTGCCTATACACGTTAATGTGTTTCGCTATTACTATGGTTGCTCAAATGTTTGGCCTTTTAGTTGGAACTGGAATGAAAGTGCAGGTTTGTGTGAGAATATCGAAACATGTCTGTGGAATTATCTGTAATAACATTTTTACAACAAGTTTTACTCTAACTTATATTTTTATACTTTCAGCACGGAATGGTATTTGGACCATTCTTCACAATTCTTCCATTTTTGATGTTCAGCGGATTCTTTGTTCAATTCAGAGACGCTCATCCGTACTTACGATGGCTATTTCATTTGTCATTTCTTAAGTATGGCTTCGAAGGTGTAATGATCGCCATTTACGGGTAAAGAATGTCTCTAGAATTAATTAACTCTGTGGAAGAGTATTACTATATGGCTACTATACAATGTTCCTTCATAATTTTAGTTACGACAGACCTAAGCTTTCATGTTCGGATGTTTATTGTCACTTTGCAATACCAGAGACGTTGTTAAACGCTGTGGACATGAAACAAGCCAATTATTGGTTTTGTTTGATCGTGTTGGTCTGTCTATATCTCATGCTGGACATTGGAACGTACGCATTGCTGAAACTGAAATTAGAAAAACGTGTGCTGTGTTCAGTGTAAATATAAACCAGTATAAATGAATTATTGTTAAAGACTGATTTGCTTTTAAAATATCTGTATACAAATGGAAAAAAATTTTATAAAATGTGTTTGCTAAAAAAAGACATGTTTTGCATTTATTATAGTTTTATTATAGAAAACGAAATATCAAATATTCCCTGTAATGTACAATGTTCTACAAGCAAGCTAATTGTGCGCGATACTTGCCGAGACATAAATAAAAATTCTGTAATCTTGAGATAATGGTATCATGAATCAACGATATTCTTCTGATGCTATGTTTCATGTCATATGATAACAACAGGTTTTTTGTATAAATTACGTTCATGTGAAACGTAACATACATAATTTATGTATAATATCCATTGAAAGCTTTTAGATATATAGTTTTTGCAATTTTCTGTTTCCATAAATGTGCAATATATATTCGCGAATAAGGAGATATAACTATTATGTAATGCTGTTATCAGAGAACAAGATGAATAACTATCTTATTTGTTAAGAAATCATGAAAAGGAGAGTATTAGCATTTTTTCTATACATTCATTTATTTTTAATTTTAACCGTCGAATGTCACCTGACTTTTAAAATTTTGTGCTATAAAAAAATTAAGAATTGTCGAGTTCTTATTATGCTAGAATTTGCGTACAAGCATTATCCCCATATATATTGACATATTAAAGCTCCTATATTAATTAAATCCCATATATTGAATTATTTTAAGTTGAATTGATAAAAAGATACTCAAAATAAAGAATAGATAAAGGAACGATCATAACTGATTATGAAAAAATTTCAGAATCAACGTTGCAAGAAAATTCTAAATTCAAGGTCAAGGCGACCCAGATATGTGCAGCGAGAAAGTTGTACATATAGCGCTGCACCGAAGCTTAATCGGCAGTCGTCTCGACGAATTCGTGCGCGGGACATGATAGATAATCTTCGTTATACATACTTCGTTAGACATAGCGCGGTTTGTAAAAATAATGTTCATTCAACTGGACAAAGTGCAAGCAAAGAATTACGTGGACAATCATTTTTCTCTCGCTGCTTATCTTTGACTATACACAATCTCTGAATCCTAGTGAACAAATGCAGATCTTTGTTTTGCCGACAGATTCGTGTAATACTTTTCGGTTGGTAAAATCTCTTTGTCGAGGACAAACGTCCAAACATACGTTACAATTAAAACATCGATTTATTGTGTACAAACCGATTTTGAACGAGTTCGTCAAGTGTCTTTTAAATTAGTATATTTACTTATGATAATGTTACACTTTGAAACATTTCGTGGATACCATAAGAATATATACGATGTGATAATATTGGCATGGTGTTGTGCTATTTGTAAAATTTCTATTGCTTCGAAGTTTTACTAATTCTTTTTCTCGAGAAAAAAAATGATCCATTCGGTAAATGATCGTTAAAAGATTAGACTGAAACAAGTCGAAGTGAACTCTACACTCGTGATTGTACGTTGCAAATGATAACGCAGTGCAAAAAATTAATGTTTATTATCACGCAGTAAATTCCAGTGGTTTACTGTGACGAGTGGTTTAATAGTTAAATATAGGTAAGCCTGGAAACTTGAGATGGAAGCGTGTAACAACGACATGTCTGTCGATTCGACAGTTAGAATGATCGACGAAGAGGGATGCACGATTCGATTGAGGGAAGATCAGAACTTTTTGAATCTATCTATTCAACCGGCTACCAAGATGCATATTGAATTCAACGATCTCTCGTACTCAGTGTTCCCTACTAAAGGCAAGTACGTTCACTCCTGTAATTCACGTGCAGGGAGAAAGTAGAGTCACGCTGCCTAAAACAAAGACGTTAACATGCTTAATGGCTTGGTGGGTCAATTGAGCATGTTGAACAAAATATCTTGATACCTTTAAAGTATCTTATTGTGGAATTGAACATACTACATATAACGTGTTTTCCAATTGACTTCATTAAAAAATTGGTCGCTTTCAGAAGTAATGTCAATTGAGTGTAGTGATGTATATGAAACTTATTTGAATGTTAAAAATAATTTCAAATATGAATTCAAAACTTTGAAAATTTTAATATTTCGGTTCATTTAATGAAGAAATTTTACATAATCCTATATATTTTCTAAACATTTCTCAATTAGGAATAATCAACACTTTTACACTTTGTTTTTATATCATCAGTTTTACGCACTTATTATTACGTATTTATTTACGCATCTTATAAGTCGTCAAAAAGAATTTTCTATAACCTGTAATTGGTTATAACGTGAAAATAATTGATCAAGAGGGTCGATCGTAAGTGTAACATTGATTACATTAGAATGTAAAATGATATTAATAAAGCTGAGGTCAAGATCGAAGGTGTTTTATGCAAGATTTTGTATAACAATTCGAGTTGTGTGAGCGCACTTATTACTTTATGTAAAAAAACAAACTATACGGTTGTTATTGTACAGATTTATAGTGCTAAAAAAACTACAATTAAATAAAAAATGTGCATTAAGATAAAAAAATTACATTGATATGACGTTAGAGATATTTCTGTTTGATAATTGCAATTCTGATTATTCAAATGAAGTCTACGAAGATGATTATGCATTTCTATAATTCAGTCAACTGAAACTAACAACTCGGTTAAGCTACATACATATTTGTAAAAATTGTATCTACGCATATTGATAAATAGAAAACATTTTTTCTTCAACGTACAATTTTTTTAAATTTCTCTCTTTCGGTCATTTATTTTTCCAGGCATATAATAATGTGACACAAAAAAGTGTAATGTTGAAAATCAGAATTAAATCAAAACAGATGTCAATTAATGACAGAGATTCGAGTTTAAGTATCTTCTTTTCTACAGGAAAATTAAAGAAGATAATAGAAAATGTGACCGGATGTTTTCGACCTGAAAGATTATCCGTGATTATCGGTCCGTCTGGTGCTGGGAAAACTACTTTGTTGCACATTATATCCACTCTGAAATCGAAAAATGTCGATGGCTCAATCACGATTAACGGCAAAGAATGGAATGTTGGCGTTTTTCGAAAGCAGACTTGCTTCTTACCACAAGAGTTTGCTTTGTTACCGCTGCTTACCACCAGAGAAACACTGCATATTGCCGCGCGCTTAAAAGTTCGGACCACCTGTGAACCACGCGCGTTCTGTTTAATCGTACGTTCACCATATAAATTTGCTGAATTAAGTCGCAGTAATAAATGGTATAAAGAGAAGTTTTAGATGCGGAACAAAATTAAGTTGTTTATTTTAATCCTGCACGATATAGAATTCAGAATGATATTATATACAGGGTGATTGAAAAAAAAAATCTTATTTTAAAATCGCGGGAAAATAACAATTTCGTTAAAGAGACTTCTTCCTAGGAAACTGTATTATGAAAGTAAAAAGGAAAAACATATGATTTAAAAAAAGAATTAAGTTATACTCCTATGGTTATGATTGATACATATGATGTCACAGGTAACGGAAATAGCGGAAAATTTGGGTTTGACCAACTGTTTGAATACATTAGTAGAAAATTTAAGCGGTGGAGAACGGAAAAGGTTATCAATTGGTGTGGAAATAGTTACAAGACCATCTGTTTTATTACTAGATGAACCTACAAGTGGACTCGATAGCACATCCTCGAATCAGGTACCGACAGAGTTTATTTATCAATTATTTCATGATACATTTTTGACAAAAAAGTAGCTATAAAAAGATGACTTACCTCGAACAGGTAATTGGGCTGCTGCATAAAATAGCAAGAGGGGGTTGCACAGTCGCCTGTGCAATTCATCAGCCTAGCAGTCGCATGATATCACAATTTGACGATTTGTTAGTTATGCACAATGGTACATCGTTCTATTGCGGACCCTGGGATAATGTATTTCCTATTTTTAGCGATGCAGGTTACGTGTGCCCACAATTTTATAATATGTGTGAATTTGGTAAATAATAACGCATTCATATTGGAATAAAATTTTTTAACATATAGATCGATCACTGATTTTCTATTATAGTTCTAGAGGTAGTGACAGGAGAAAGAAGTGGAAATTTGAACAGTTTGTACAAAATTAGTCGCGATAAATACTTAAGATGGAGGACGGATTTCCGGCATCCCGTCATGGGTAATCGCGACTTCAAATAATATTTATATTTACTGTAATAATATAATTGAAAGATATATCTTATTGATGCTTAGTTCTGTTTTAGGAACAGACGCTACAGTCGTTTCAAAATTGGATGGTTATACGAATAGATCAAAATTATCGTCTACTTGGCAAGAACAAAGGATTCTTTTATTGAGAGCAATGATTTCTGTTAAACGAGACAATGTTAGTTGTTGTAGTGAAATTAATTGATAATTTGTTTCAATTCGTTTCCATGTGATAGTTTATTTTTGTACGAATTCTTTCCGTTTTGCTTGTAGACTCTGACAAAGCTGAGATTCGCGGCTCATGTGGTAGTAGCTTTTCTACTAGGTGTAGTGTTTTACGATTCGGGAACTAATGCTAGTAGAGTTAATAGCAATATTGCATGTGTATTTTTTGTTTTGCTGTTTTTGTACTTTTCGAATTCCATGCCTGCCGTTCAAATGTGTAAGTTGAGGCTTTTTGTTTGTTTTAATGTTACAACGTTAAAAATTCAACAATTGAAATTATTCATTGAAAATTTTACATTATTATTGATTTTCGTTACGTTTTTAGTTCCTGTAGAAGCTGCCGTCTTTTTACGAGAATACTTAAATAATTGGTATCGTTTACAGTCCTACTTCAGCGTAAAAATTATATCGGATCTACCGTTACAAGTAACTACAGCGATGAAATTAATGTTAATATTTTTATCGAACACATTTTTAACATAATGTAATAACTTTACAGATTCTTGCACCTTCAATGTTTATTTCCATCACATATTACATGACTGGTCAACCAATGGAGTGCAATAGGTTTATGCGTACTTGGTTGATTTGTGTTTTAACAACGATCCTTGGACAATCATCAGGAATGCTCGTGGGCGCAGCATTCAATACACACGTAATAAATGATTCGAGACGCATTTAGGTTGTCAATTATTGTAATATCATGCATTCTCCTAACATTCGCTGAATTGGAGGCGTTGTATTGCATAATGTATTGTATTGCAAGTGAACTAACGTCGAATTTGAATCGCCAGTGATTTTATATAACTCGAAACAAGATTTTTATAAAGAAGTATACTAACAAAAATTATTAATATTTTCAGTTGGGAACATTTTTGATTCCAGCAATAAATATGCCAATGATACTGTTTGCTGGATTTTTCCTGAAATTTAGCGAAGTACCGCTATACCTTCAACCTTTATGCAGCATTAGTTTCTTCCGGTACATTTTCACCATTTTTATGTGAAATAAATCGCATACAAAAATATGTTTCTTTTAGATATGCATTTGAGGGTATTCTGCAAGCAATTTACGATGGAGATAGAGGCAAATTACCGTGCCACGAAATTTATTGTTATTTACGATATCCTGAAAAAATTCTGAACTCTATGGATATGCCCACCGTTCCCTATTACACGAATGTATTAGCTTTATGTATTTGGATACTGTGTCTACAAATTACCACATATTTGATACTTAAATGGAAAGCACGTATAGCCAAAATATAACGTACGTTAGATTAAGAACGCGCTACCAAATTAATCAATCACTACGATGGGAAAAATGATTATTGATATTTGTACAGTTAACAAATAATTTAAATTGTTTTATATAAGAAAAATTGTAAAAAAATCACAGTACGAAATAAAAAGCAAATCTTATTTTTTATTTAAAAAATATACACAAATTTATAATTATTGAGCGATAATAGAAAAATATTTACACACTTTGCGTTACAGCTCACTCATCCTACATAAGAAGTTATAAATAATAAAATCTATTTGCATACCTCGTTTTATACTATGTGTATAAGTATATTAATGAATGTCTATATGTACGTATATTCTATTTCTGAGTCTTATACAAGAATAATGATTTCACAAAATTCGTTTAATAAACTCGAATTCTTATCTCCAACAATGTAGGAAGCACTTGAATATTGGACATCTTAAATTAGTTATAGTTTTGATTACATGATTACGACTCCGTTGTTATCAGCGAATAATAATCTTATAACACACTGTACGATTTATTTTCGACAACTACATGTGTTGTGATAACATTTATGTTAAATGTATTCCTATGTTAAATGTACTGCTATGTTAAAATGTATTTCTTGACGCAGGTGCACTTCTTCTACTAAAAATGCATTGGTTTCAGTTACGTGCATGTTTAATTGAAATTATTAAGTTGCAAAACGACAGTGTTTTTTTAACCAATAAATAAATATTGCTTATGTACTTATTTTACTAATGTATGAGTGAATGGAATATCATTGTTAGAAGCACACATGTACTTTACAATCGCAACAAGGGATTACCACAAGTTCGACAAACACATGATCTCAGTAATATTAATCCTGTTGCGCTGCATGGTAAATTATCGGGATTGCGAGTCCAAAATATTTCCGTAAATATTAATTCCTCGTGTAGATCAATACTAAAGACATAAGAAAGTTAACAATTACAAAGGAGAAAATTGTAAAAAAATTAATGTCATAAGTTACAAAAAGTATGCACAGTATATAACTGGAAATCACAAATTTCTTCCTTTGTTTTATAAATTTACGATATCTAAACGTATACTTGCATTGATAATTGACTTTCATTGAGCAATTTTCAAATATTACGATTTAACTTCCGAAAACACCATTTCGGAAAGTAGATATCATTTCAGATATATACTTAATGTACAATATAACAATGTATTCCTTTACATTCATTAACTTTTCGTGGTAAAATTATTAACCTTACTAAAAAAAAGTTACTTTACTGCAATATTACATTCGACCAAGAAAGATTAACGCAGCGATATTAGTTTTAAAATGAAAAAATTCCAGTTATCCAAGGTTGGCTTACTGAAGAAAAAATACTACCCGAAAATTTTGCATTGCTTCACATTAAAATCTTAATCTCTCTCTGTCATCTCAAATTCTTCTATATCTACATTCATTTTCTGGTAAATTCGTGAGAATTTTCATTCATTGTTTGCTCAACAATCGTATCACTGGTGCCTAAGGGCTCATCCTGATATTTATTTCGCCATGGGACGCTATCCTATAATGAACATACTTCCGATAGCAGATAAAACGAGGAATCGTTTTCTGCTTCCCTTTTGTGCAACGTTTAATCGCTGAACAGCAACCGTTTATCAATCACGATATGAAACGGAGTCAAAAGACGAGCTTTGAGGAACGTTTTACAGTGGATCATCGTACAATTTTGCCCGACTTATCGTACGGATACAATTTTCCACCTAAGGAGAAGATAAGCGGCGAGCCGCGTTATGATAAGTATCGTGATCAGGGCCACGATATCATTCCAAAACTGTTCACCGTCCATAGCAATATCAGAAAGAAATTTCGTTGGATATCTGTAATGGCAATACAGGTTGTTCTTTTCTTTGCAAGCTAATACTGGTCGATCGTATCCATATATAGCACTGATGAATCTATGAATTTATAATAAAATTCACTTAAAAATAAATTACAATTTAATAACGGAAATATTCGTATAACAATACAAAATACATTACCCTTCCAAACCATATCGCAAGAAACTAACATATGTACCCCATTTCAGATAACTTGGTATATCACGTAATGAGACGCCAAATCCGGCAAACATCATTAACGGTACAGACAAAGTTGGTCCTATGAAGGTTCCATTCTAGAATTTCGATAAACATTCTCTGTTTTAGTTTCTCTTATCTATGCCGTCAAGTGGTCACTTTAAATATCTTCCAATCACGAAATGTTGTCAATTTTGTTATGATTAGTAAGACAAAAATATACTCACCACTACATCAAATACTGCTCCAATCATAAGACCAGTCCCTTGACCTATAAAAGATACTAACAAGCTAATCGAGAAAAACATGAGAAATCGTGCGATCTCTAACGGCTGAGACGTGATGAAATATACTATCAAAGTAAAAACTAGACAGCAGAATATCGAAATTGGCAAGTCCACTAACGTTATGGCCGTGTAAAACGCTTTTAAACTGTACCATCTATTGAAGTGTTCTTTCGATAGGATGCTCATCTGCATTGGAACTGAAAAAGTATACACGTTAAGATTGAAAATAATTAAATTGGACATTTGAATTGTGGAAAGTTTTACTTACAAGTAACTACCGTGAGCATCATTGTGGTCGTCATGTGATGTATGAGAATGGAAAACAGAAGATTATAATTATCTAAAACTTTACCACCGTCCGTGCCAGTTTTAAGGAAGACCGACCCGAGCATAAAGCCCACGGATATGTTGACTAGGATTCGTAAGTGTGTTAGCGTCTAAAAAAAAGTCAATTAGGGGGAAACAATTAATATGCAAATTGTCAATATGTTAATAAAAAACAATTATATAGAAGCAAAGAAATAGGAAGCAATTTACTATTTTTTAAACAACACTATAAATGTGTTTCAACAGATAATACTGATCAACATAGTTAAAACGTATTAAACACTATACATCTCACTTTAACTTACAGTGTCTCTCTTACACATTACATAGCCCCTTCCCATTAAAATTTTTATCTGATGCATCAACGAAGTCGCTTGCAGGCTTTTTGTACCACATGAATTTGTGCTTTTTCTAAGGGGATGTAATGCTGCAAAATAATATGCATTATATAAGAATCATAATTAAACGACAGGCAAAGAAAATCATAATTACCAACCATGATTTAATTTGTATATAACATGATTATTGATATTTCACCTTAATCTTTTACACAATGTTAATGGACGTACCTCTTAAGCCTTTCGCATCTATTAGATTGTCAGGATTCTCAAACCATTGCAAATTTTTGCCATTTTCCGAGCCTGATATTAATAACGATAGCTTATCCTCTCCATACTCGCCGCAAGCCAATTCAATTACTGCAGAAAATAAAAAATGAAACAAAAACTCTCAATTCTTAGACTTAGAAATAAATACATACTATAATCTGCTGGATTGTGGTACATAGGGCATGGTAATTTAATGTTCTCCAAATAAGGTATTAATTGGTTAGTTGCACCGTGGAACAAACATTCTCCTTTTGCTAGTACATAAACCTGTAATGTTAAATATAAAAATAATTAATTCAAAATCCAATTTTTTTAAATTGTTAATGTTGTAGCACAAGCAACAAATGTATTACGCAAATCATGTGCATTATAAACAGTATCTTGTACCAGATCAAACAGCTGGAACAAAGAGGCGCTAGGCTGATGAATAGTACAAACAATTGTTCTTCCTTGCCGTGCGAGTAGTTTCAGCAAGTTCACCACTTGCATACACGATGAACTGTCAAGACCCCTAAAAATGATCATACACTGTTACATATACCATGATATAATTCCACGATAATAATTTAAACAACGATACGTCACCAGCGATACGCATTCATATTCGCATTAATCGTAAATCAAGGTTTATGATCACAGTCTAAGGATATCTTTCCTCTGTACATTTACACTTACGTCGTTGGTTCGTCGAGAAACATAACGGTTGGATTATTAACTAACTCCAAGGCAATAGACAGTCTCTTCCTTTGACCGCCGCTTAATCTTTCCGTTCGCGTGGTCATATGATCGTACAAACCCAAAGTAGTAAGAATTTCTTCAATCTGGAATATGTAATTTTATCCTCTATATTTTTAGAACATATTTTTTTCTTTTATGCAAACGAGTATGATAATTTAAAACAATGAGGAAATTAATGATGGAGGACCATTCTAGAGTTTTATTAATATTTCATTACAGGTAACAGAAACCTTGAAAAATAAACGGATGGAACTTTTTAAGTTCAAGTTACCATAAAAAATATTCAACTGTTTTCTCATGTTCGTTAGCAGTACTCTTTTATTTTATCAAGCTCTCATGTTGTAATTGGCCAGCTGTACAATTCAAAATACTTAGATCTTGATAATCGATCACGTGGAACGAACCATTACTTACTATCGTTTCCTTTTCGTATCTGGAAGTATTCGTGGGAAGCTTGAGGTCAGCGGCAACCTTCATGTTTTCGATGACCGTTAACAGTGGTTCTAAACGGTCATCCTGCGTAATGTAGGCACTGCATCTGTGGCGATTATGCGAAACAGATCAAAACGGTCAGATATAAAAACACACAGCGTATATATATGATTTAATTACAAGCCGTTGTATAAATTGGGTCGTTCATTCATTAATAATAAACATACAGGATGATTCTAAAGTGCATAACAAAAGCAACCTTTATGCTTCATTGTGACAAAATTTTGCATAAAGAGTTTAAAAATAGTAATGAAAAAGAAACCCTCTTTACAATGAGCATACATTGTCGATAAAATTTAATGATCCATAAAATTCCAACATGAAGTTTTCATTGCCACCTTCAATGGTATAGTCGATGGAAGAAATATAGTATGGTCGTTAATTAAAATAGCGGCACTGATTGATGCAGTGACACCCAAGATTGTGCAGCATTTTACTTCTTTCAATTGAGACTGAATCAAAGTTAAAGCATATTTCATGTGACCCTGATTGAAGTTTCAGGCCATCTTCTCAGATTTCTATTAATTAGCTTGTCAGTATGCTGTAACATGTACTGAAATATTAATCAGGCGTTAAACAACAATTTAACGGAGATAAGGAAATCGAACTTTGTTCAGGTACGTTCGATATCAACTTGAAATTAATTCTTCCATTGCAATATTGTTTAAAAAATTTTAAATATCATTTCACAAATAACGCACGGCGTTAATTTACGATCTCACTATGTTGCTTCCATCAACTGTACATTCGAGTTTCATTTGGTATAGTAAACTCAAACTTTGGACACCTGACCCATCTTATGACCTTGCCATATTTCTTCCACTGACTATACTCAAAACAAAACCAAGCATTGTCACGTGTGAATCTCCAGCTATGTGGAATACTATAACGCAGCTTCATGGCAAACAATTTCCAGCGAAATGAAACTCACTTTCGAAAAGAATTCATCTGTCGAAGTCGTCCGTTTATGTACACGTTCCCATTCACGCCGGTTATCCTGAATCCCGACAGGATATCCAACAAGGTTGACTTCCCTGCCCCGGATGGGCCCATTAAGGCGATTAACTGTTTCGCTGGAAGCCTTCCATTGATTCCGTGTAATATCTCCTTTTGACCTGCAACACGTCTCATTGTAATTTGAAATACCCTTATGTGATCTTTGATTATTGTCAAGAAGAAAGTATCGCGAGGCATATGTATATTCGTCGAAATGAACTCTTCCAACTCTTGTCAGATAATGCCTGTGAAATTACAATCTGACCTTGATAAAGAGTACCTTTCATTGATGCGATGTTAATACATATAATTGACAAACTTATGCAATAAATAAAAAAAAACACGAGATATTAGTAACAAACATTTTACACGGTAGAATTATATACATACATACAGGAGGTCTCACTTATAATGAAGTAGAAAAGAAGATTTACGGTTCCAAGATGTGCATCTAGTGACGATAAAAATATATTCCTGCAAGGTCATACATACATTTTGGACGTTAACATCTAACGTTACGACCTTAAAGTGACCTTGAACAATAAAAGAAAAGATGTCGATGACCTACATTCAAGATGGCTTCACTTTAAACTCCTCTTAATCATTTTTTCTTATTTTCATTAACAGCGGTAATGATTTAGATGTTCGTTATAAGTGAGACACCCCATATTTGCCGATGATTATAAAAGTGGTTTGTTAAAAATCTAAAAAAAATTTCATTTATCACATAATTTGTGTTGCACCATTTTTTCATAGAAAATAGCAAGTATTACGTGAAATGTTTTATTAAAAGAAAATCTAATTATCTCAAAATGAAAAATACATAAATTATATGTAGGCTACTTTCAATGTAAATTATTATGCACAATAGTAAATGTACAGAGTTGGTTATAAAATTACATCAACGAAACCAGAGCAATTTTCTGTATCTTTCAACTTTCAAGATTTTACAAGCTTGCATCCTGCTAGGTACAGTCATCCTCAGCTCATTTCACTCGAATAGACTTTTTCTCGCGTTCAAATTATATTCCTGTTCTCTCATCCGTGCAAGGACGGACGGAACTGCTTCACAAACTCCTCCAACACCCATGAACTTCTTCAGTGTGTGGACTCTTGCTTGAGAAAACCAGTAATCCTCGAGAACCTGGCACAAATGGAAGGAAAAAGAAAGGGGAGAGGAAACGTGCAAGCACCGAGAGAAGCAAAAGGGAACTGACCTTTTCTACAGCCAAGCGACACCGTGTACGTGATATTCTCGAAGATGATATCGATAGTGTCCGCTGCTTCAGTTTTCATGAAACCTCCGTGACTCCGTGTATTCCCCACCTTCATAGACGGTTGTTTCACCGCACTATAAATCTGCCAACCAGCCGTGTCCGTCTCTGGCATTTGTACTTCCATCGTTGAATGTTCCGTGCTAGCTGCTCAAGCAATTTTGTTGCACACAGGCGAGGAAACACCGCAAGACTGCAACCAAGAAGGAACAGGAATCATTTTTAAACACGAGCAACATGTAATATTTATAATTAATCGTTTTTATATTTATTAAAATAACGAGTTTCTAAGGAATTTGCGCGGATTTCATCTATAATAAATTAATTGAGTGAACAAGGTCAGTGGGAAATGTACCCTCGTTCAATTCACTATCTATTCCCACTATATTACCCGTCTACCCCATCACTAAACAATTTATCCCCACTACTTCACTGTCTGGTGTCTTTTTACCTCAAGTTTATTTCATTCTTAATTGTGCTTCGTACATAAAAACTGCATATTTCGCAAAATAAGTAATATTTAAGAAAAAACTGACTATAATTGTAAACAGGAAAACCTTGAAATATTAATGAGAATTTTCAAATGAGTCGTCGATTAATGTCTCATAGGTGTTCGTGTAATTCGTTACACTACGTATAATCCATGGACCTACGCAATAGGTTTCGAGATACCACCATTTTTGAGTCAAGGTCAACACTAGGTTAAACTCTAAGACGATTTTTGATTTTATGGAATAAAGACGAAGATTCCTACATCGAATTGTACTAAATATAATGACCATAGACACGAACATTCATAATCATTAAGCAAACGAATATCCAGAAGTTAATAAATCAAATCTGTCGAATTTTTTATTCGATATAAATGATACTGAAATGCAGTTCAAGGTTGCGTAAATTTTACGATCAAATATAATTGCCCATAATCCAATAAATAACGCGTGCGATTAACATATTTGAATAAAGGTGAACATTTACCTAAATAAATGGCTCCGTAGATTTGTTTCGCCATATGACAAATGAAAGAAATGAATTTACATAAGAGATTTAACTTTCCTACTTAATAACGAAATAGACATTACGAAAAAAACGATGTAGATCTCTGTAGATGGTAGACTTGCGCGGAGTGTTTAGAAATGATTAAGTATACTAATCCAAAGATTGAAACGTTTTAAAATATAAAACGTGCTAAAATTTTTTGTAATTTCAAAATATAGAGTCCACTTTTCAAAAGATAAGCACTGCTTATGTGTCAGACGATAATTTTCCGAACAGATGCGACACTTATCACTTGTCACTATTGCGACACGATCTATATGGAACGCAAGATCTAATTAGTCAGCAGTTTCCGGATGCTGTCGATTTTTTTCACATATTTTGCCCCACTGATGAAACCCACAAAACCAGTTTCAATATTTATCACTCTTAACATCGATGTACGTACGTAACATGATTAACACACAATAACATACATCGCCACAAGAAGCCAAAATAAATATAAAAAGATTGATTCACCATGGACACCTGTTGTTCTTGATTTTACAAAGTACATACTGAACACAGCCATTACCAAAGCCATTACCAAAAAAGCGTTAATGACTTTACCGACTCAACATGCGAACCAATTCTTTTTACCGATGTCAGTTAAATCGTGCAAAACAGTCGATGGTGAAATTCAATTCAATTCAATTTGATAGTAATCTAACGAAAGCACAGCGTTGATCAGCGATTAGATTAGATTAACGAATCTATGATCATAAAAGGTAAATGTTACTGGACTTAGAACTTTCTGTTCGCATTTCATCGAAACACGTGCACACGGATTACGTCACTCGAACAAAAAAAGAGAGATGAGCACGAGGAATATATTGGAGATTCCCTCTGATTATTATAACGGAATATTTAATTTGCTTATAAATAATGGCTCCGCAAATAGCGAGGGGAATATCCTGGGGGATATCCTGTTGCAATGAAATTCCTGATTTTTCCGTAAAGTTTTTAGTCGTAATGATCCCATGGGTAACAGTAGTGATATTGATTTACTCAGTAATCGTAAACATATTTCGAGAGTTATTAGTGGATGGAGATTACAAAATTTCGTGGAGAAAGGAAACAATGTTGTAAGTGGGTAATTATTCGTAAAAGATTCAAATATACTGTATAATCGAAAAGAAATAACGGTCATTCGTGTGTTGTTTAAAAGGATAACACGTGCTGATAGTCCAAAGTTCGTGTAGCGAGAAGAAACGGTGCGAAACACGAGATATCCTCGTTTCTATTACATGATTAGCCGAGAAACAACAAAAACGTGTATATTACCAAGAAATGTTCACTGAAGACCGATACTACCAAGAAAGAAATAATCGAAACGTGAACAGTCATTGAGTATAACGAATTCAATGCAAAAACATCGTTTATATTTAAATTGTATATATGTACATTGTACTGATTGTGTAAATTGTACAAAAAGGTATTAATTTTTCTTAGCGTAAAATGTTAAAGCAACTTTCTTTTTTTTTTTTTTTTTTCAAATAAATTACATACTTTTGTATGAAAATATAAAAAGTTGATAAGTTATGATGGAAATCTTGACGATGATAAATACGTTTCAATCAAACACGAACATGCAACGTAACTCAATATTTTATATTTTTTGTTGATTTATTGATTTCAAATTAATTTTACAAATCAACGATGTAACTTTTCCATTTACTAACATAGATATAATTTTTCATTCTTCATGTTCACAAATTGAAAGTTCATAAATAATTTTCACCTATAACAGATGCGTACACAGAAAAAGAAAAAAACGGCGCATGTGCAGCACCCGCTAAGGGGGCATTAACGACATTGAAACAGTTGATCGTGGAGCAAACTTCCTCGTGGAGCAAAGAGAACAAAGTGGCCTATCTTCGTGGCGATAACCGTAATCTTGTTTATGGTATTAAATGACGATCATTGTTTCAGAAAGTTCAACCAAACTCTAATAATGTCCGTCAGTTTTGTTTGGAACTCTAGTAACTTGTTCACATTAATAAAAATGTTTCTAACCAGTAAAAGGTGGTTAATTTGATTTGAAAGAGGAGGAAGTGGGAGTGAGGTAAATTTAATAAAAACATTTCACATGTATAAATTACTACACAATTACAATATGAAAGAATAAATATTAACACGTGGTTTCTTATCACAAAGATGTCAAGTAAAATACAAATACGAGAAGTTAATCCTACCATGCGGAAAATTAATTGCACACATTTTCAAGTGGTTCATTCCTGAAACAATAATGATGAGTTATAATGATTGGTCGAAGTACATCACAAATCTTATCGCGTGAAATGAATCAACAATGAAAGTCCAACGGAGATCATTAGAGATCCAAGCGGTTACTTACCAGAAACAGTATAAATTCAAGTTCAGTGCTTATTATTCTTAACACTCCACATTTGTATGCCTCGTAACAAATCTTAGAAGTCGATTGATGATAGATTTACGATTGGCGACAGAATTATTTTCCGACAATTTTGCATATATGTTCGCAACTCTGTGTAACAAGCAAAACATAAGTTTCAGATTGTTAACCGATTCTTACTTTTTATCTGCTAATTTACCTTAATTACAGACATCTTAATACAATAAGCATAATTTATTGCTTGCATATTTCTTTTACAGATTAAAAACTGGAAATACGTCAAATGGGTACAAAGTTGTGTTGCAAGGTATTGCAAAATAAACCGGCTTACGATTTCGATTTCCTTTTTATAAGAATTTATCGATCCTTATCTAACGATTATTAACCACCATTTTCCACCAAAGTTTACATAACATTGCACTTATTATGTACATCGTACTTTCGTCGGGGTCATCAGAACGAACACGAAGCTGAACGACAAGGGATACATACAGAAGACAACTCAGGAATACCATCATAACAAATCTTTGTGATTCATGGTCCAAAAACAGCCAGATCCGCGGTAACTCTTACTAACGTGTGTAGGTGTGTGTATATATGTTGTTCGCGCATTCTGGGACAATGTAACTGCATCGTATTGTTCGTACACGGATTTAAATAATTACTTTATATAATTGAAAAAATTATCTTCATATTCAATTAAACGGAAAAGTATCGAGTATAAATTAAAAAGAATATAACCTACATTTACAAGCTTTAATAGACGTAATTTGCAACTTTTTTTATCATCGTTTACACGATTAAATGAATTATGATTTCTTATAAAATAAATTCTCTTTTCATTCTCATTAAGGAAATGATTAATTGTACGGTTTGGAAAAAAAATCAGCATCCGCGTACGAAGTTCGAAGTTTCATTATCGAGCTTACTCATCAACTGGTTCCATGTGTTCACTGATATTTACCACGTTAGTCACCATGAAGAATTTTACTCGAGCTGTCCGCTTTTGTTCCTTATATTAGCCCCCCTCTTCGACGCGTAATTTCCATATTTACAAAAACAGCAGAGTGAGAAAAAAGAAACGTAATTAATCGCGATCAAATGTGTACATATTATTAAGGACCATTAGCTTAATTTTGCGAAAGATAAATGCTGAATTGGATTATTCATTAGCACACTTCATATTTAAATATTAATCATTTTTTTTTGGAACATGTAAATGTTGACAAATGTTGACACAAACATTTTCTCACTAACAGTTATGTTGGGTTCAATGACGTTAACCGCGCACTTTGACGATATTAGAGATAAAGTGCGCGTTAATAATTCGTTTCGGTACCCACTGTTATCCTATCATGTAGAAATAAGAAAAAATCATGCAACATATTAGAATTTCAATCATGATTTATTTATTAACACACGCTTATACACATACATTTGTTTTTATATCTGTATAGTAGATAAACGAGATTAACGAGTGAAACACACAACAGAAAGTTGTAGATTTTCAATCGACCTTTAAAACTTAGAAACAAGCGGAAGAAGCGAGTAATTGTTAATATACTTGATGAATAAATGGACTTTAAACAGAGGAAATGAACGAAGAAGGCAAGGTGAGAAGAAATCATGTCAAATCACTTATTAAGATTTCTTGTTGCTTCTTCTTTTTATTATAGATGATAATTTAACGATCGTTCAACGGTATTGTTGGTGATAACGATTAAGAGAAATCGATTTGCAAAGATGTGTTTCTTTGGAAACGATTTACGCAAGTGAAGAAAAACGTCAGAGGTAACACGTGAAAAGATTACTCGCGTTATTGACAAGAGGACTCTTTTCCGCTTTAAATAATCCAATCTAAAAAAGGTCAAGTAAATAAAATAATGTTAAAAGTGCATTATTGCTGGCTTACCAAGTAAGAAAGTGTATGGAAAGTGAACACAGAATTTATCATGAGGGTACTTTCACTATGAGACAATATAAATCGTTATAATGATGCGTATGAATTATGAGAGACACAACGAAAGCAGTCAAATCATTTCCTGAAACGGTGATAGTGTTTCTGTGAATAAAATATTCTTTTGCAAGGCACGCTTATTAAAACCAAATAACTTATTATAGAGCGGAAATGTACCAATAATTAAACGCCTTTTACACTATCGATTACGACAATAACGAATGTAACGATCATAATGATTGGCATTTACATCCTATCATTGAATAATATGTAACACTTGTACAGATCTTCATTTGATACAATTAGAATTATATGAAAATTAGCGCAATAACCTAACAACGATTTAGTGAGTATTGCACAAAGGAACACTGACACAATGAATACTAGCTAATAAGTATGGTTATCAAAACATAAACACATACATAAATGCTATTTAAAGATGTTTAAAGATGTCAACACGAAACAGCAATCATAGATAAGAAGTTTACATGAGAAATGTCAATTTATATGTATTTAGAATTAATCTTTATTAGTGCTTCTTTTGTGGCAACCGTTTGAATCATTAAAAACCGATAACGTTAAATAAGAACAGAATAAGACATAATAATAAAAAGTAATGAAAATGATGCAAATCTGTGTGATAAGTAGATGTAAAGAAAGCAATTCAGATAGTAACAGTAAGTGATGCAAGTCAATGTTTGTAGCTCCGTTAAAGTGTAAATATAAACATTCAGCGTATAATGTCACGATATTGTTTATATTTACATCGAGTCCTTGGAAAGTTTATGTTTCTCTGCGTTGATCAGATACATCAGTTTCGTGAAAAATGTTTTCGTGGGCAACAGGTAGTTATTGAAATTTCTTGTACATGCTCCATATCAAACAATAAATATCCTGAAAATGTTTTTCTTAAATATTTATCATTTAAAATTTTAATTGAAGATAAAAAAAATCTGCAGATACCATCGTTATCTGAAAATATTCAGCTATCGTGTCTTAAGTGCTCTATTTTGTATGTATAATTTGTATAATAGGTGGGGGGTCACTTAATGAATTCCTTCGACTGCGCATACACTTATAATTGAGTCATTCCTTATCAACTGATTGAGTAGTGGTACTGAACTATTTTATTTTCCTCTCGAAAAGTAATTCTTTCACCATCAAACTGGAAATATCTAAATCCATTCGATTATCTATATAGTCTTCTAAAGAACGTCACCATACGATAAAATTTCGTAATTACGAAAAACAAATGAAACTGTGCTGCGTTCCAGCGGAGTTTTTAATATCTATTTAGATTGTATCCCTCTTTTAAATGTTTCCTTGATAACACAGAGTGATTAATAACATCGCAACAGCATGCACGCAGTACGCGATACGCGCAAAGTTCAATCGGTCATTTTACGTGAATTCTAGCGAGGGATATCGATGTCGATATTTTCGAACTGATTTTTTCGCTCGATACGCGCAATTGCAAACGAATTGTTTCATTTCCAAATAATCATAATCTAGAATTAATAATAATCATTTTTATGGTATTGCTATCCTACGTAAAAATTGACCTGTTGCTGGTACGAACGTACTAACTTCAAATTTTTGTAACATGAGACGACTCAAGTATCAAAACATTGCCGGCCGTTATTTTCAAGCTAAACCGTATCCAGTACTTCTTTTCCCAGAAGTGAAGTCAACCGTTTACACAAATCGATTTCCCTATAGCTTTTTCTTCTTGCATAAAACACATCCTGCAACATAAGACGTTGAAGTTGCTACATCGATATTATGTTCGATACATTTTCGAATTTTATCGACTATGCAATCGAGAATTTTCCGAATTTCACTTCGCGTGGTTTCTATGTCGGTCACTGCACATGCCAGATGCAATTGTACTCGCTTGAAATCCGAGATGACGGTGCGATCTCCGTCGACATCCTCAAAAGGTATTAGGAAGTGGGACAGCATGAGTAGTGGTACGGAATTATTTTAAACATTATTCAACATCAATGATTACTTTTTTGTAAAATATTTTTAAATGATTTTTAAAGGAATTTTAATAAATTGTTGGAATCTGTTGAACTGCAACAGTACCGATTAATATATTCTTTTTTTTTTTTTTCGAATATTCTCAGAATTCTTTAGTTTGTAGAAAGTTGGCTAGAATTTTGCGAAAAAGAGATAGACAGATAAAACTGAGTATCTGTTACAGCATAAGGCCATTCACACTGCACTTTTTGCAGTGAAAGCACTAGCGAAATTTAGTCGCGCAATGCACGATGGTTTTTACTTGCCTTCAAGCAAATCCAATTTCTTCGTATTCCCTTTTTGGTCAGTTTTCAACCTTCAGTACTAGTTAAGGTTGTTATCGAAAGATTAAAAGTGTAAATTACTCTCGAAACTTGAAGTTCATTCAGACAGTATCACTTTGTAAAAGAATTTTAAACGGAATTCGATCATTCCAGATCGTGTGAATCTTGTGCACGTAATATGTAATTTACTCATATATACCAAATGTTTCATGTCATTCATTATTACTGACTGACGTTTAGAAGTTACGCCTAATTTGAAATTAGTATTTCTACAGAATGTCTATATCTTACAACGTATAATTTTCTATTTAAAAAAGGAATATCGAACCATCATTTTTGTTGACAAAAAGGGTAACAGTTATGAAATTAATTACACTAAAAATAGCACAGTAGTCTTACAAGTAATAAATTACACGATCCTATTAAACGTCACATTTGCTCTAACGAAGATGCACTCTAATAGAAATTAATATATTATTTCCATAATTGTCGACATGTATATCAATCTTTAATAAAAATAATGGAAACAGAAACAGCGTATCCATGCGTACACTGTGCTTATCATCTCGAATTAAACATCATATATACGTACTTACCGCGTTGAGGGTAAAAAGAAGCGGTTCCCGTACCGTTCCTCTCAGGATTTCCACCAAGTATATTTTAATGTAGCAGCTCTTTTACGGTTAATTCAACGAATATTCTCATTCGCGTGCGTTCAAACGGCCTGTGTCGGTTCGAACGCGAGCTTATAGCTACAAAAGCGCGGGCAAAAGTGTCCCAGACATGTCTACTTACGCGAAAATTCACTACGACGCCGTAGAGCGCGTAACATGCACAAGAACCGAACCGCTTACTACCGTCGATCGAATACTACACTCAACACGCATGTTCTCCCTTTACTGCCTCCCTCTATCAGGGTTTTATTCCCCTCACTACTCGACCACCGATCGAGAACATTTCGCCCCCTCTCTTTTTCTATTTGACGCGACGATCTCCTCAATCTGATGTCTTATACCTGAGTGCTCCTTTTTCTTCTCGATTTATTTTGTAAGTAAACTCGATGATTCTCTTTTCATTTCGATCGATATCGATCGACTAGATGCAGAGCATGGTTAAGGAAGATTACTATATTCTGAGGGGATGTTGTTACTGTAAAGTATATGAATTATAGTAAAAAGGATACAACGCGTAAAAGCACTTGCTTCTAGAACGTTTATGTGCATTTTTTGCATGTACCTCGCGGCAATTTAATTGATATATGACAGTATTAAGACGTTAGTAATTATTGAAAACGATTTCTTGAAAATGAAACCTAATTCTTTATACATGAAATAATCTTTCATTTATTAGGTTATATACATATTAAATCAAATTATTGGTAAACTTATATAACGAAATATATGATTTTTATTTGAAACATTTATTGAAGATGTATATCTACCGGAAAATAATTATTTTCGAATAGAATTAGAATGGCGCCTAACTATAGGCAAAATGTGCTGCTCTTACTCTGCCCCTCTCTTTTGCGCCTACGTTATACTCTATGTCTTCGGTGTGTTAGGAAATGATTAATCATAGGAAAGGATATTATTATTTTGAAATGATCAGAAATTTAAAAAAACATTAAAACATTATAAATTGATGCACAGTGGCAATTAACATTTTCAAATAACAACTTAATTCACCATTGAGGAATTAAACTTAAGGTTTTCTGTTTTATTTGATATTTAATTAATCGAGACAAGACTTAAAAAAAAACATGAATACATTCAAGATCTGTTTCTTATAATTGTGCATTTTTTTGATTACACGTTTGTATATCGTACTGTTCCGTGTGCATAACTATCCTGATAACTTTATCATTCAGTTTTTTTAATTCCATTTGATACTTTTCTGTACGTTAAACGCGAATTTCTTTACTAGTTGCATCTTATTAGATAATATTCAATGCATAAGTTTACGTAATATTTCCATTAGATACTGTTTTCATGATATTTTTTCATTTTTTAATTTTATTTCACGATATTTTGTGGAAAATTAATTTTCTATTTGAATTATAATAGAAGCAAGAACAGGGTATATACGGAACTGAAGAAAGTGCAAATTGATTATAGATGAAATAGAAACTGTGCCATCGTTCGAGTTCAAGCACATAAAGCAAGTTTATCACTGATTTCAATGAACTTGGAAACTTATGTAGATGAAGCAAAAGGTATAGAGGAATTATTCCATTTCTTTTTTAATAAGTATTATATTTTAAAAAATGATCTAAAAAAATTCATACTCATATAAATTCATAATTACGAAATTCTTTTGTCCGTCTGTTATTAAAATGTCTATTTATCAATGTATTCGTTGTAATTATCGACTAAAAATTATAGTTTTCTCTTATTTGCAAAAACAATTTTTGCAGACCTACGATTATTATTAATTAATACAAAATCCGAAAAAAAGCAAGGCAAAGTCGATATACGTTAGTATAATGTACTTCCACATTTTAAGTACGGCTTTTAAACAATCTTATCAGGACGAGGTACAAAGGTACCTTCTTGATTAAAATGAATCATTGAAACGTTATGTTTTTCATTTCAACAATAGCAAGGGAACCGTGATAGATCGAAGATTTAAGTTCTATCCAGAGATTGCATTAAACGAGTTATTTAAAGGTTTTGAGTATCTTGATATGTATGTAAAGGGTACCACAAACTCGTACTAGTCAATCATTGTTATCATTATCTTTTATCCAAATTATCTTGTTATATAAATTAATATACGTGTAATGAAACTATTTGTGCTGACGTTTATTGGACGTTATTACTTATGCGTATTGAATCTATATTTCATGTATTAGATTTATTATTGCTTTATTAAATATGAAATCAAATAGAGTATGCAACTAAGTGTCAATGGGCCTCTATCATACAAGAGGCCGCAATCACAATGGAGTAGATGATTCAGGATGACCATTGACCCGGCTCCGTGGTACTTATCAAGTTTGCCCCATGTGCTTTTAATATTGCTTTTCTACCGAGAAATGTATTCACGATTTCTACAATGCAATCGCGAAATTAATCACATGTTAATTGCTTAAAATTATGTTTTGCGAGAAATTATCTGCATGTATTAGTACCACTGGATATATACATTACTTCCTGTAAATAATTTGAAATTGTTTAAAAATGCAATCAACCCTCAGTTAATTCGTTTACTGTTTGAATACCTGTAATATTCATCACTGCCTATTAATCTAATTAATAACATTTACATACTTGATAATTTTCTTAAATTACTTCTATATAACTAAACTTCATTAAATCATTTCATGTCACAACTGAGCATGTTCAACAAATTTTTACGTTTAATAAAAAAATAGTAAATTTATTCATAGTATAAGGTCATTAACAAAATACGAATTAATAAAAGTGGCATTTACATTGCGAATAACATTTATTCATCATCTTGTACAACTGTTGTTTTTTCTGACACGTATAGACCATCTAAGAACTTTCTGATATCCTTGTTCTTTACTGTCGTCGATTGCTGTATAAGAGCAGCTATAATGAAAATAATGAATTACAACAACGTTTCATTTGGACTTTCACAGTGCAAACAGAACTTCTTTGGAACAGAATCCAAGTGATAACCTACCAGATCGAGAGACGTCTTCTAAGGAATTGCCTTCTATGATTAATTCATCCTTTTGTTTAGCTGAATTTTTGACAGTCACACCAGATGCCATCTTTACGCGACGAATGTACTTTTCACCCAAGAAATTACGGATTTCAATAACTGTATTATTTTCAGTTATAACACAGTTAATAGGGAAATGAGCATATACAGCTCTCATTTTGTACTGATATCCTTTAGTCACTCCTTTCAACATATTTTCAATGTGGGAGCAAACTGTACGGACAGCTGCTAATTCTTTCTTTGTTCCAAACCATTTCTCCACTTTCAATAACCTTGGACTTACCATCTGAAAGACAAATAATATACATATTTACAAACAATACTACACTGGAAAATCATTTATTTTCAATATTTTATTAATCAGAAACGGATTTATCATTTACTTTAAAAAATGAAGGGGAATCCATATATATCATCACATAAAAACTTAACTTGGCTTTTTTTTGTCAAAAATTACTCAACAATATCGAATTTATTCTGTTTACTTACACGAATATCAAGTGCAAGGTGTTTGAAAGATCGTTTAAGAATACCTCTTGGTCCTTTAACAATAACTAACCGGGACTTGACCGTAACGGTCAATCCTTTAGGTATTTTCACAGTTTGATTGGTTACTATTTGCTTCATCCTGTAACACACCAAAATAATAGTCAAATATTAGTTCAACTTTTGCAATTAATAAGTTACAATTGATTTTATACAATTATTAATTATATAGTAATATGTTTGTTATTTAAATAGGCAAGTATTATTTTTATATGGAAATATGAACATACTGCATTTATTCAGAACTAAGCAAGCTGTTTAACATATTTTGCTCAATACTTCATTTCACAAGCTAACTAAAATACAACACAGATTTAATCAATTTCAGTCAAATGTTTTCACATATAAATTAAAAGTGAACAAAATAAATATTTTGTTGTTACATTTCATATTTCTTTGTATTTATTCTTTTAATAGATAATAAATGTATAGGTTATGTACATGTACCACAATATCACATCAAGTTGTCAAATTAAAAAACTTTGACATAAACACGAAAATTTATTTCACTTTCCACGTTTATAAAATCACTATATTAATCACTCTGAATATAAATATAAGTATTTACAATAATATATTCAATTAAAAACAAATGTTTATGAAAACTAGAAACAAGGTTATATTTCAATACTATCAGAATGATCACTTTTTCCAAAAAATAATACTTAGCCTAGCACAAACACGATACACAGTACTGAATAACACAAATAACACCTTGCAATATTTATTGTATTGCTAGATTGTTTTGGATTTCTCAAAGAATCTCTTATATTCAAGATTTCATTACCTCGTACACGCTACAGGATAACCGGAAAAGACCGAGACGTTGAGAAAGCATGTCTGGTATCTTCTTAAACAAATGAAACTTATAGAGCAGAATATGAAATTTCATTCTAAGTAGTTACATTAGCTCATCCTATAGATGGCACTTTTTAACATTTTATATTTCAGACTATTTCTTTGCATAAAATCATTACTTTACATGAAGAATACAATTGAATAACATAAAATCTTTCTTCATTTGTAATAAAAGTACTTGTATAACGATAAAAAAATGTTTAAATATTATCAAACATGCTTTATAGATAAAATATATTTTTTTCATATACATATTACTAATTTCGTTTTGATATACAAATGTTTTCTTATTATTTCATGTATATTATTTCTTGTATGTTTAAATAATAACTATTATATTTTCAAACAGAAGTATCATGACATTTTAGAAGAAAAATATCTATGATATACCTTTTTCATGATCAAAATATAGAACCAAACTTACGACTGTAAGATGGCCGATTACGTTACTGAAATAGTTAGTCACCACTAGTGTCTTTTGTGTGTGATTTTTCAGATTTTAGTCCCGCGCGTTACTTTAAAGTATATATAAAGCATGAAATACTTATTACACTCAGGAAGAGAAGATTTAAAAATTGACAAAACATTGCAGAAAATATATTTTATTTTTATATATGAAATAAAATTCTTTGGTTACTTTTTGTAAAGAATAAATATTTCAAGTAAATCCCAAAATAACACAACAATTTCAAAATTTCGTAAGTAAATTAAATATATATATGTATACATTTGAAAGTATTACATTTTTCACACAATGATCTTTTACGACAAACAATTTCATTCCATAGTTATTTCATAAAATCAGAAGTAATTTTACTAAATACCCGGAATGATTCAGTACTTTTTCGTATTTATAGTTAGGGAAATATTTATTTTTATTTTTTTAAAGAGAGGAAAATTAACATAATAATGTGTTTAGTATTCGGATGCAAGAAATACATCACCAAAGAACTTATCATAAAGGAACGACCATAAAAGGATATTTTATACTCGAATGTATCAAAGTGAACATGAAGATCTTCCTGAAATTCAATATGCTGAAGTAATATATTGGTAGGATTATTCAAAAAATTATAATTTTTCGAAATATTAAA